GTAACTGGGGTAGGCCGTGGACGTCACAAGTAGGGCTGCACCGATTAGTTGAAATAATCGATGACGTCGATTATGTAAATTTGTCGATGCTGATTTTTTTATTATCGATTCGCTGTATTACATAATCACCATGTGAATGTTCATACAATTCCATTTCGGCACATAAATGCATCATTGCAACTGTACTGGCATAAGAGTGGTGAGTTTTCCATGCTTGTCCTGAACGCAGCATCGCGCAAGAGTGTAATGACGTCAGCAGCTGCTGCTTCAGTTCAGTCTGAAGCTTGAAAACAAACCTCGCAGCTCCTGGAGTAAAATTTACCGAACAGACCACCTCTGAATTTTCTGGTGGATTAATTATCATTGGCAATTTTGTTGCAAATGTGGTGCATGTGTTTTTTGTTTTTTTTCTGTGTCAGTTGTTTTGTTTTTGATAAAAGACAAGTTATATTGTTGAGCTTTTCATAGGTTAAAGGACCTACTGTGACTTACATGATATGACAACTTAGTATTGGTAATGACCTGAACAAATCCATGTAGCATGCCCCCTGCTTTTCCTTTTGTCTCAGAGAAAATGGGAACAAGAACAGATTGTCTGCAGACTGAACCAATCTCTCTCCTGTTAGGCATGATGTAAAATCTATCCATCTAACTGTCTTACAATCTTATTTCCAGCCAAAAGTAGTGTTGGTCTTTTTTTGACACTAATAAGCAACAGCAGAATGTGAATTTTTAATCCCTTAACAGTCTTTGTTGCACCAGTGGACAAAAACGGTGCAGTTTCTGCCTTTAGACATTTCCAGACACTACCGGGGGCTTTTATTTTGAAAACTAGGGTGTCAGACGACTTCCTTTGGCTCTGACCTTCAGTTTGACACTTTTACAAAAAATAAAAAAGGCTTTTAAAGAATTTCAGGGGTGGCTATTAAGGGGTTAATCTTGTTAGCCTGGAAATTTTTCTTAATTAAAGTCTTATTTTATTTCAAGTCTTACCAAGTGAAATATCTTACTGCCCTAGCAGATTTGTTCACTTATCATTAGAAGGTTAAGTTTTACTGTGTAGGTCGACTGATTGCACATTTTGTGACTCTTTTTCTTTTTACACAGTAAAACACACAATGGTTTTAAAATAATAGCACAAGTTTTTCCTTAAAAGCTCATTTTAGAGCATTCTATTGGCTTAAGATGTCAGAGTTAAGACGATGGCAATAGGTTGCCTTCAGGCCTCCCTTGAAAAAGAGATCTGTGATCTCTGTGGGATTTGCCTGGATAAAGAAGGGTAAAATAAATCAAATAAAAATATCATACGAGACCATTTGTTATGAATCTTTAAACCAGAGCATAAAATTCATCAATGGATAAAAACACAATTTTTCCCAACTGCAACACATCCAAATACATCCTTACATTATTAGATGTTTTGTGTGACATAAGCTCAATATTCCAATATTCTCAACATTTTCTGGTTAAAGAAGTCGTTTGTGTGCATACAGGTGCCTTTTGGAATAGCTATTAGAAAATCCACCCTCACAAAGATGTTGCTGCAGATTTGATATGGTCACATTCATTTTTAAATATTACACCTTTGAAAGAAAAAAAATACTTTCAAACACTTGTCAGCCAGAGACAGCACATCTGCGAACAGCAGCATGGACCTAAATCTTTGCACCTCCTCAACTGAACATTTTTCTCCACCAGCATCCTGTTCTGATCAGAGCAAAAAATGGAAGAAAGCACACACACACACAAACACACACAGGCAAAATAGGACAGAGATAAAAAGAATCAATAAGGCCCATCTTTACAAAAATCCATCCTTTCAGTCACAGACCACAGAACATCTGATGCACTGAAACTTACTGCTACATCTCTGTCCACACCCACCTTTTCCACAGCAGTCATGCCTCACTGAAGGAAATGATCACCATACCTTTGTCTCRTCTGACATAGAGTCTTCAGACTAGTCTTTCATCTCTATCCATTTTTGAGGACGTTGAGGGATGAGGGAAACGATGGGTCCAGGTTTCCCAGAAGGCCTTCTCTCCCTGCTGTTCTCCCCTGCAATTGTCAATCTTTAACCTCGGCTGCGAGCTGCCGATTGGCTYGGGTACCACATGGAGGTACGTGATTGGGTGCTCAGCTCGGTGTGCAGCACAGGCTCTCATCTCCCCGCTTCCCTCAACCACAGTGCTGCAATGCAGAGAGGACTGAGCCGCGCCGTGGTTTTAAAAACTGTGGAAATCAGGCCTCTTGCTTTCTTAAAAACCGTATCAAACATGTCCCGGCTTTGTGACTTTATGAAGATGTGTTGGTTTTAGCCCCTGTGAGAGAAAGAAGATCAGACCCCCCCC